GCTCCATAACCAGATAACATAAGATAATGGAGGTTGTGGATATCTTGTTACAAAGAAACCGGATGAGAATGAGATTGGAAGGGGAAGAGTCAGTGAACTTTCCGCGTATTGCATGGGCAGACTTGAAAATACAGGGAGGGGAGGTGAACAAAGACGGCTTTATCAAGGGCATCCATTCAACAACAGAAAGAGATATCGCCATGAAGACGATCATGGGGGACAAGGGGAAGAAAGAAAAGGCGATTTCAGTGAGAGGAGTCAAACATATAAGCAGCCTAATATTACATGTGGGTCAACCTTCGGAATAGTAAAGTAAAGCCAAGAAACATACAAATTGTGTACTATTATAGGTGCTGAGCTAAAATTCGAGGCCTATTTTAAATTCATCGTGGTGGGGAAACCGGGCTGGGGAGCACAATAGTAGTCGATGCCTAGCATGTGTTCGCATGTGTTGGTTTATGTCTTCTTGTAGTGAGAGCTGACTCTACACATGCCTGACTAAGTAGGTTACCAACCAATATACACATTCACAACTGGCTAGAACCGTAGGATTATGTGGGACTGCCAACTTTAGAGACAAAAGAGTGTGTTTTACGCGAATCAGAAATGGAAAAGGGAAGTGCTCCTTCTTTATACCTGCAGTTCCGAATCAAACCAGACTAAAGGCATCAGGGAATGAGAGAGAATAAGGTGGGGATGATAAATAGGATAATTGGGTTTGAAGCCTAAGGGGGAGGATGATGCCTAGGTTTAAGAATCACCTATCTTAAGTCCTCGTAAACGCGTACCGGAATTGAAGGCTCATAGGCAACCAGATTTCACACAGTAATACAGTGAATTTTATGCGTAACAGGGAACAACTGACAAGTGAAGTGGAGAGTGGCTAATTATATGCCATAAGCCATGACCCAGAAGCCCTGCAAATGGCATCTAAAACTGGTGGAAAAGGTGATTATGCTTCACTAAATCCATCTGAAATGGCACACTTATAGGCGAAATTGGAGGAAACGAGAAAACAGAATGGTGTGATTAAGTAACTGAACCATATTGAATGGGGTTGAGAGAAAGAAATGCGGCACTAGAAGATTGGACAAAAATAGGGGCGAGGAGTGATGCCAAAGTAGTAGAATTGAAAAATTGTCAAGTGGATTGCCCCCACTTGTCTCTTTAGTAAGTTGTAACTATGTGCTAACCATAGCGTCTCTCAATGACGACGCTGGCTAAAGGTCTGGGAATATACCGAGTCAATGGTCCGTTGCTGGAAATCATTAATACTATGGCCGAGGACGCATGACTGGGTACGTTCCACAAGTTCTACCTATTGCCCTTACAAGGTTACGAAAACGAGCTTAAACCAACATTAATCGTTTGAGACCAATCTATCTTATGTATACTCTTTGCCATATGCTTTGCCCGTTTTACCTAACTGTCTTTACAGGAATTTGTATGTTCTCCTAATCTTTCTTACTAGTTTACCTATCTACTTAGAAAGAAGGCATAATCAAGAATTTAGAAAATGTCTCAGCTTGTCTATCTTTGACAGAATAATCACAATAATAAAAGTTATTCCTCAATTAAAAGATATTATAGAAGTTGCTTGACCTTGTTTTCGCAACTTGGTCATATTGATAGGAAGAATTAGAGGAACGCACCTAGTCCGGAGTCCATTGTATGCATGATCATTTCCAAAGTCGGACCG